CACACATATATATATATATATATATATATATATATATATATATATATATATTCCCAATTTAGAAAAGATGATGGTTAACTTTAATAGATTTAGAATGTCTAGGTTTTTCAATAAAACGTAATTAAAAATGTCTGAAAGATAGACGTAGAGATATTGACAAACTGATTCAAAGCCTGTAAATACATTTGATAAGTATGTATATTAACGTAAATTCATCGTATTTAATTTGTAATGACGGTTATTTTACTCAATACAGACGCTCAATTAATAAAAACAAAGTTAATTTCTTTTGGTGTATCCATAATTAAATTAGCCATCTTCATCGTAGTGTTTTTTGCATGTTTCTTTGTGTTTCTAGGCATACGTATTTTGCGCCAGTATATTGAAAATCTCGTATATATAAAAATAAGCAATCTTAGTTGTTAAATAATGTATGTGGTGTATATATGCAAAGTGTACCAAATATTAATTCCCTGATATACATTACTGGAGATAAAGTTCTCACTGAAGCCATTAGAATTCTTTATATTATGACATGTTTGAAGAGCATCGTTTTCTCGGCGAAAATACATTTTCTTCAATAATATAAATGTTGCATATAATCTTGTTACGTAGATAGTGTGAATCCTTTAGCTAACTTTGGAAAGTTAAACCGCTTAAGCGAAAAGAATCATTGTTTTGATTTAACGACATCAGCAGATTATAGAACAATGTAAATCAGTCACACTGTTGATTATTATTAAATACAAGTATTTATTAAGATTCGTAAAATAACAATATATTGCGCATTGGTTATGGATTATATAAGTTCCCAGTTTCGTTTCTCATTTTCAAATATTTCTATATGAGGAAGAAGAAAGCTCAATAGACGCACTTAATCATGTCGTTTGTTGATATAGTATAGTTGATATAATGGAATATGCATACACCTGTGTTCCGCCCTCACTGGAATATGATTGGCTGGTGTCCGTCATAAATACCGACGGACGTGTAGGAGAGTCAAGAGCCTTAGTCTGAGAGCTAACTCTATAATGACGCCCATTGGACTACGCCATTGATCTACACTTCGACGCGTACCAGTTGATTACTGCTACCGTATTCTACTTGGTTATAGTAGCCAAAACCACTTAGCCACTTCGATTAAATATATCCCTTTCCGGGACATATCAATAGTATAGCTGGCTACTCATATTCGAGGATACCAGTCTACTAGGGTGGCTAGCCAATCTCTATTGCAGACGCTTACTCAGGTACTTTGGTGTTTATTCAACACCCACAGAACCCACCTGTGTTTTATACTGCAATTATGCTGAGCGGGCCTTAATTACAGTTTCTGAGAAAGAGCGTGTTTTCTAGCGTTAACAACAATTTGAACAAAGGCCAGCACGCTCAAGCCCTCGACTACGATGACTTGTGACCGTGTTAGCACAGCTATCGTTTCAATTTTACTCACAAGGCTTGGGTCAACCCGTCGTATGGTCTTCAGGCACTTTCCAAAGGTGCCGAACGCCGGGACTGTCCCCACTCCAGACTGATAACCTCAGGTCTCCTTCTTGTCAAATCTACCATGGTGAGTTTTGAACCAGGGTTTCATGGTCAGATGAGAAAGTTCTATCCACTTGGCCACGATATAAGCGCTATGAGATTGGCTTCAATCAGATAATATGAGCTAAAGAAGTTAACATGTATTGTGTGGAAGTAATATCCATTTAAATAACAATATATTCCCATAAGAATAAAATATGAAATACAGCAGTGAACTACTAACAATGGCACAGCTCTGTAGAATTGTTGCATGGCTGTACAGGTCCTTTTTTGATAAAAAGTAGACATTTGCTATTTACCCGAAAAAAATGAATATAAAGTCGCTTACACTGCCAATATTTTGATTTCTATCAAATACACTGTCGTACAAACTAAGGTAGACAAAACACACAATGAAAAATATTATGACAATAGGTCAAAACCGGGTCATGTTGTAAGCAATAATATATTTACGCTGGGCTGGAAACAGTACTAAGTGGTTGTTATTTCATAACACCAAATCTACGGACCAACATTTCACGGTGTCTTGAAAACTTATATATACATCTATAGCAGGCAATGTAAGTTTTATGACGACGAAGCAGCGGAAGTGTTTACATCTTATTCTTGATTTTGTTTTCTTTCAAAATGTGGGTTATGGTTTTTGACGCCTTTCAATAATTATTGCGCCGGTCAGGCTTGTTTTTAATTTAATCTGAACCACTCCTCAATTGAAACAGCTCACAAACCGCAAACGTGACATGGGAAATCATCGAGTCAAACTAATAATAATAATAATAAAACTACTTCCTTTATCATATGTAATCAACAAAATTTCAGATCAAGAATCTCTAACAAAAATAATTTAGTTGTTTTTTAAACTAGTCTCATTAATTGTACTAAATTCCAGATTTAGTTTATTGAATGTACCATGTGACAAACACCTATGTGCGAGAACTTTATCTTACTTGAATTTTTTAAATCTTCTCCATTCTTAAACTAAATGTGCAGATTGAAAAGTCTGATAAGAATAAATTTTCTATACGTAAAAGAATTGTCTATTCACTTCGGGACTCTTGTCAAATTAATGGCGGCCCAACCCGAGGGTATGCGGTTTACGTTTTCATCGTATATTTGATCTTTTTGCGGGAATTTGAGAGATACGTTTTCTCTTCTCGTCGCGTGGGAATTTATAGAAATGTCTTTTACTTGGTAATCATGCCTATGCTTAGTCCAGGTGGGTACAATTCCATGTTTATGATGGTACAACCGCTGTCATTGTACGATGCCCGATTCTGTACTTGATTGCTTTGAGTTCATCTTCTCGATTAGCCTTTTATGCCTTTTGACATTCTGAGTTGACATCGAGGATAAAATTTACTTTGATATCTCTCACTTTGACATTATTAGTAAATTACCCTCTGAGACCATGTTATATAGAAATAAAGTATCACTCCTGACACTTGAGTTCGAACATAGATCGACATTGAACAAACACAGGCGATTCCATTATTGAATTAAGTAGACCACATGAACCTAGAGGAAACGCATAAGTAGGAATTAGCTTGGCGTCTGCTTGATCGTTATTTCTAGTCTATCCTCTATTACTATACGGACCGCTATTCTCTTCTCAATTCACTATATTATTTTTCTATTCAGATGACTATACGGATTACTGTTCGAGCGAGTTTTATCGAACAAATACTACCGGTGCGAGTGTTATTCGAATGCGTCTGACACCAGTATTGTTTAACGGCGTTACTATAAGAGTATCTGCGATTACAAAGACTCTACTACAAACGAGCATTACAATTATTCGTTGGCATCAGGTAAGGAAGGCAGTGAGCTAGCAAGGTCTGACTTGATGACAAAGCCAACACCAGATTTGCGTGGCTCTTTCTCAGTCTTGCCAGCCCATACAAATACGTATCCGCCATTTTCTTCCCTAAGCTGATAATTACCAGCCAGATGTGTTTGCTATGTCGATGCTATATTTCTTCAACTCGAGAGAAACAAGAGCTGTTTTACGCTCTGGTGCAGAATCATTGTCCTGAAGAGTGCGAACATTCCAGAATCCCAAATGGAAATTCTTATTCTGATCTTTCTTGTTGTTTCGACTGCATTATTGGATAACCAGACAGCTGCATCGGGCTGCCAAGTCTCTGTGTGAGTAAGCGATTTTGGGGCTCCTTTTATCGCCCCCCCACCTACAATTGCTCATGGGTTTGTGAAAGAACGGCCATCACCCATCCATCTGCCACTGTGTATAGCTCCAGCTAGAGCCTTCCTTTACCTGACTCCGTCGCCTTCACTCTCTCGACATCGGACCTTGCAAGTGATGTGTCGGGATAAGAACGAATCAAGGTAAACCACGAGAAAACCCACACAAGCGATTTGATTTATATGGTGAAGGCTTGGGCAGAAGCATCCATGCTTTTTGGAACTATTGATACACTCAGATAAATGCCACAGACGAAGTAGACAATATACCACAGGGTTTTCGTGTAAGAGTTTCCCAAAGCAATCGTGTTCTATAACACTAAAGAGTTTGGTCATCCCTGGTAGACATTATTTGCTCATAGCTGGGACTCTAACAGGTGCTACCTGGGAAAAACAGCAATTAAAAGGTGGTTCCACGCTCTTCAAATCCTCCAATTTCCCGATGAAAAGACTTGCTGCCGGATGTCATTTATCGTCATACCCAGGAGACTATATCTATCTATCTATCTATCTCTCTCTCTCTCTCTCTCTCTCTATATATATATATATATATATATATATATATATATATATATATATCGAGGAAATTTGTAAGAGAAAATGAGAAGTTTATTTGTGAAATATTCATTTTCATCCGTTAGGACATCATCGGGCTTGTTTGTTGACGTTATTGTGATTACGCATGCGCATGAACGAGCGACGCTAGTTTCAAATTTAAAAAAAAAATTCTTGCAGTCTAGCCAAATTCTCCTCTTTTCTCTTTCTTTCCATCATCTTTGTTTTTAAATAACTCACATTGTGATAACAGAAAATCTGCAAAGAATAGAGAAACGTTATAAGAAAATGGATGTAAATTTCCTGTGGCTGAACTAGCGAATGAAGAACTTTCTGAACATTTCGCCTTCGTGAATTATTTTCTCTTTTAATTGAAGTAGCATTTTTAGGCCAATACTGTGGCCAATTTCGTTACGGTGAACAGCAGATATGTTTTGTATGGTGCTTTTTTTTATTTATCTCTTTTGTGTACATGTAGTATTTTGTTTAAATTCTTTCATTCTGGTAATTGCAATTCTTGTAGTCAGGGTAAATTCTTGCTTTGGGTTTTGGTTAGTTGTTTTGTTTTGTATTGATTAAGTCTATTATTGTTTTAGATGTTGTGACAAATTTTATGTTGAGTTTAGATAAATATCTCATTCTTATCTACGGATTTCATTCATTTTTTTCAGTCTATACGTATCTATCTATCTATCTATCTATCTATCTATCTATCTATCTATCTATCTATCTCTCACAGTCTATTCGTATGTATGCATCTATCTATCTATCTATCTATCTATCTATCTATCTATCTATCTATCTATCTCAGTCTATTTCTATCTATCTATCTATCTATCTATCTATCTCAGTCTATTCCTATATATGCATTTATGCATGTATCTGTCTCAGTCTATTCGCATCTATCTGTCTATCTCACAGTCTATTCGTATGTCTGCATGTATGTATGTATATATATAAGTAAGTATGTATGTATGTATGTATGTATGTATGTATGTATCTATCTATCTATCTACATACGTACCTACCTACCAATCTCATATTTTTATCTATCTATCTATCTATCTATCTATCTATCTATCTATCTATCTATCTATCTATCTCAGTCTATTCCTATCTATCTATCTATCTATCTATCTATCTATCTATCTCAGACTTTTCATATCTATCTATATAAATATATTAGTTCTTTTAAATCTTCGATCTCTTTATCCCACTAATTATCTATGTTAGATGCGATGTAACTACGAGGCGTCGTTGAAAAGTTCTCATGACTTAGCTAAATTAGTAATATATTGGCAAAACATCAGGATACCGATTTTCTTTCTTTCTTTCTTTCTTTCTTTCTTTCTTTCTTTCTTTCTGTTTGGTATGATTTTCACACTGTTGTTGTTCTCTTTCATTTAACGGCACCCTCCGCAATGCTCCAACAGACAGAGATGTCAACTCTCCGTGCGTTCCTCAAGCAAACATATTTGTTTTGTCCGTCCTAACAGTCGACCGTGAGCAAACCTTGCAAAATCGATAGTAACAGATTCTAACTCACCAACGGGAAATTCTCCTAAACGGTCGACATATCTAGGAAACATTTATTGCTTAAGACGACTTCCCATCGATTGTAAAAACCATCTTGACTGTTTTTAGAAAAGAGAAATACGACTTTTGAAAACGACGATGGCGTTCTTGCACATGTTTGGAGAGGAAACAACACATTCTCTTGTGATATTTATTTCGTGTTTGTTTATAAAATACGTTTAAAACTGGGAAATTGATGCATAAATTGTATTTTATGTACGTGCTTTATATACTTATCGATATATATTCTATCAACGCCTTGTCTTATACTTTAGGATATCGATGTAAATACGATAATTTAACACTCGTAATTTGAAACTTTTCAGAATAAAAATCTGTACCTCTAATAAAATTTATGCAGGAAACAAAAAGGTTTAATCTTCTTAATTTGAATCCTTTCAGGATAAAAGTCTGTACCTCTAATAAAATTTATGCAGGAAACAAAAAGGTTTAATTCTCCTAATCTGAATCTGTTGTGATGATATAACCCAATTTCCCCATTCACGATAATGGACGGACTGGTTGCCGATTAATTACGACCACAGCGGACAGTCAAAAAGTCTTCGTTTGTTAACCCCTATTGAGGTTAGCATACTCCCGACTCTGTCTCTGTAGTTGACACACCTACATCCGATTATAAACCTATTATTGAAAACCAACACTCGGGTTACTTTGTTTATTATATCTTGCACGAGATATAACAGAATCTTTTCAGAATAAAAATCTGTACCTCCAAAAAATTTATGCAGGAAAAAAAAAGTTTGTTATTTCATTTGTAATTTCTCTTTTTCTTTGTCATACTGCATTTTGATTAAATTTTAAGAAGAGAATGATTTAAAAAAGCACAATAAGGAACAGATTTTGATTGGAATCGTGAAACCTGTAAGAAAGATGACAGTATACAGATTTTATAATGAGGCAATGAAGACTCATTTTCAGTTTTTTCGTTTGTACTGCAAAAGCCTTCCAAATGCGTAACCCAGGTTCTGAAGGTACCATTATAGAAGATTTTAACATAGATTTTCGACATATCTGAGAAGGAAATACTGCAGAATTGCTTATCTTAAAGCCTAGGGATCAGGGTGAGGTACTGGATGTATATGAGAGAGGATGCTCCATTATGATAAAATTTTATATATATTTCAGTCATCAGAGCAAAGGCCGGATGGTACAAGGCCAAGAAGAAGATGAACAACAACAAATACGCGGTTAGTATTTCGTATAAAGTAGATGCATTAATTCAAACAATTCTTCGATCAAAATTCAAACAAAGAATATGAATTGTATCAGGTTGCACGGTATTGGCACCCACTGAATAAAAAACCCGGCATGACAGAGTGCGCCAATATCTGTACTGGAAGATCTGCAATATCTACGGGAAGGAAATTGAAAGAAATTGGTATGAACACCACCCAGACCCAGTTACGGAGATAGGACCTATTACAATTTTATGGGACTACACAATACGCTCAGACAGAACAATGAAATCTAACCAACCAGACATTGTTATTAGAGACCGCAAACAAAAATAGTGCCTCCTTATTGATATGACAGTCCCTGCAGACTGCAATGTATCTTTGAAGATCTTCAAAAAGCTATCAAAATACAAGGACCTTTGTATCGAAATCTCAAAATGTGGTACATGGGAACATCAACAATCCCCGTTGTAGTTGGAGTTCTAGGATTTTTTTGTCATTGGAAAATGTCATGATGCCATTTCTAACCTTAGGACGGATGATATTACTTATTCTTCATTGGATCTTATCAAGGATCTCTGAATATATAGCGGGAGCACCAGACCATATGTGGCAGCAATATGTTAAGCATGGGCGAATGGTAGAATTAAAGATATGTAAGATAAATTCTGGAGAGAAAAGTGTTTAGCACGACAAATAAATCAACTTTCTTATCAGCTGACTTAACAATGGATTCAATATATACTTTCCGTTAAATGTCTGCGGAGTACTTCAGCCAGAGACGATCACTCTTGTGGAAGTTATCATCAGATACGCTGACAGAAGTCAGTAAGACGTCTCTCAGATGATTAACAGAGAGCAGTTGAGTTTTGGAGGTGTTAAAATTAACAAGTCATCCTTCGTCCCAGTTAACAACAGACTAAATTTCGGTTTTGACATAAGCCGCCAATTTGATCTTATCGAGCCGATCGGAGTTACTATCGAGACAAAAGCAAATAGTTGGAAAATTATTTTCTTACAAGATACAGTTATAGCCAAAAATCGAAATAAACTCTGAGGGTGTTTGTAAAAATACCCATATGAATGTGCCTTGCTTTATTTGTACCTCATGCGGCTCCCATTTTTTATCAACTTGGTAAAAAGCCAAAATAGAGAGCTTTTTTGATCAGGGCTTTATTTTTTTGCGTTTTGGCGAGTTTCTTATTCAACATAAACACGAAGCCATTGATTTATCTTTGAATACGTGCGTAGATATCTCTTGAATTGCTTTCGAATTAAAACTGACGCTACTATCTTCCCTGAGCGAATTTTTATTTATTTTTATTATTTCAAGATGGCCGACTTTGATGTCACAGTATTCCTGTATTTACTTTTTATCTTTTTTTTATGATGTAGGTAAAAACTAAATTCAACATAGTATGTCTCAAGGCTTAAAAACAGATTATCCAAGGATAATCAAACTCATAATCACTTGCAAAACATTGATAACAATCGTTTTAATATTAAGGCAAGTATTCTTTTTTTCTAACATTTCACGACAATTAAACGTCAATATGACGCAAGGGGACAATAAAAGAACAGTATTTAAGAGAATTCCAGTCAAATCCATTATATTTACTTCCGTACTAATACCCTTGGGAAAGGTATGAATACTCTTCTCCTCCTAGCTGTAGGTAAATAGCAGGACAGACCGGTTTCTATGGCAACTGGTATACAGCAGAAAGAAATGGCAACCTATCGCAGGAAAAAATAATAGTGTGTCACGTATGGCACATAAATGTCTAAACGTGTTCAGTGAATATGCAAAAATAGAAAGGGGTGTAAGGCAACGATGCGTCTTCTCCCCCGATCTATTTAACCTATACAGCGAGGCAGTTCTGAAAGTATTGGAAACCCTACAATGAATTAGCATTGGCGGTCACAACCTTAACAGCTTGAGATAGGCAGATGACACAGTACTGATAGCAGACACGGAACAGAAATTACAAAACCTACAGAAGGTAGCGACGGAGAGTTGGAAGAAAGGACTAAGCATAAAGAAGACAGAATGCATGGTCATTAGTAAGTGGATGAGCCTGAAATGCAATCTGAAGGTCGGGAACACTAGAATCAAGCAGACACAGAAGATGAATATCTTTGAAGCGTCTTGACAGTGGACACTAAGTGTAACGCTGAGATCCGTAGACGTATTGTATGGCCAAGGACGCATTTCAAAAACTGAACAGAGTATTGCGAGACACGAATATTTCTTTGGTAACGAAGAACATAATACTGGGCTGTTACGTAACATCTGTCCTTCTTTACGGCAGCGAATGTTGGACGATTTCCTCAAAGATGAAGAAGAGACTCCAGGCTACAGAGATGGGGTTCAACAGAAGGATGCTAAAGATATCATGGACCGAGCGTGTGAGCAACGATGAGGTCTTAGAGAGGATGCAAACAAGGAGAAGACTTATACTTAACATCAGGAAGATGCAGCTGAAGTTCCTTGGGACACACAATGAGGAAGGAGGGTCTAGAAAATCTGATACTCACGAGTCGAATAGAGGGAAAGAGAGATAAGGGAAAACAATGCATGGCATATCTAGCGGCCTTAATCAAGTGGATGACAGAACATGGTCTGGGGGAGGAAGGAACTTGTTGAGAGCTGCAAGGGATAGAGGGAGGTGGAGAGCCATTATTGCCGACATCTTGAAAGGACATGACACATAAAAATAAAAATAAAAATCAAGAGATCATTTTTTCATTATATGGATATGTGAATATATGAATAAATTTTAAATGAATTCAGGGTGTGAGTTGTTGCCTTTATCCCCCGAAGCTAATCTCACAATTTTTTTTTTATTGTAAGCCAAAGTCCGAAACGAATCATTTTAAGATCATGCTCAATAGATTATTATGTATTAAACTTAGGAAATTTCTTTATTGGTTTTCAGAACTTGCATAATGTGCGCTCATTTTTCCAAGTAAGATATAACAGACGACAAATAGGCAAACATGCAAAGATGGAAACGTCGGAGAAGTGAGAATGAGTTTATTTAAGATTTACGAAGGTTGATCAAAAAGTATCGGGACTGTTGTTATAGTAACGGATCTAAAGTGAAGTTGGTCGGAACAGATTTGACTTTGAACTTTGTAGCGTATAGACATTAATTTGTAACTTTCTCGCTCACTTCCATTGTTCATAGTTGTGCTTGGAAGGAAGCGTGCATAGTGTGGTCATGTGATCCACACAATGGATATTCCGTCAGTGACCATGGATTGTGTAGCAGTGTAACATTCCCCAGGTTTGACGTTGACCATTCCGCCCCGATTTCTTCCATTGCTAATTTTCCTCTTCATTAAAAAAAATCCCACTTGCAAGGAACAAGATTCCAAAATGTCGAGGAAGTTCAAGGGAATGAGACGAAAAATCTCGCTATCCGAAACCTTTGAGTCCCAGCAATGCGTCCATCGATGGAAACAACATTGGATAAAGTGCGTGTCTTCAGAAGGGGACTGTTTCAAACGAGATTAAATTAATGTCTTGGATTTGTCTTTTTATAGCACCAGTCTCAACACTTTTTGATTAAGCGTCGTATATTACTTTTTTTTCGTGGTATTTTATTAAAACTTTTGAGGAATTTAAGAATATTAATAGATGTGGGCTTACCAACAGGAAATAACGGATTTTGTGGCTTACCTGCAAAAAAAAAATAAATATAATTAGATAGGATATATAA